TGTGACTTCTTGGCCGTCCTTTCGCCTCTGTGCCATCCTGCTTTGTAAAGGGGGAGACTGGTCTGATCTCATTCGCTGAGTGTTTTGAAGGTTGAGTTCATTCATGTGAGGCACCAAAAACGGTACCAGACAGACTAAGCACAAGTTCGTTACGTGGCTGTTAGTATTAACTGTGGCAGCACATTATTTTCAGGTAGTAGGCTTAATGACTACCTTTTTTTTTTCATTCTTACTGTATTTTTAATTAAAGTGGTAGTCAGTTCTCTTTGTAATGGATGATTTCTTTATTTTAGGAGGAAAAAGTAAACTACACTGAAGAAGAACCTGACCCAGAGCAGAGTCTCAAACTGGTTATGTTGGGGTGCTCACGCTCCCGGAGGGGCTAAAACTGGGGATGCCTATTCTTTGGATCGAGACTCAGGACGAGCAGAGAGGTTTGTAACGGAGGAAAAGGACTAAACAGAATAGGGCTTACTTTTAGTTACCATTCAGGAAGGCCGGGGAACTGCACTATTAGCTGGTACTAACATAATACCTACTATGTGCTAGGCACCGTTCTAATGATGTTAAAGCCAACTTACTGAGTGTTCACATTGGCTGTTATCTTTCAGATGAGGACAGAGATGTGTGATATGCCGCATTCTCCTAGCTAGTAGGTAGTCAAGCGAGGATTATAAGCCCAGGAAGCCAGGCTTCAGTGTTTGTGCCCCTAACCAGACTAAGATGGGACACTGCAAAAACACAAAACAAAACAGACCAAATTTGGTGCCTTGGTCACAGGAAAGGCTTACTGTTTGTTTCCTATTGCTGCCTGCTAACATGCCAGACACATACAGCTTGAACAAAAGTACTCATTATTTCCAGTTCTGCAGGTCAGAAGGCCAGCCCGGCTCCGCTGGACTCTGTTTTGGACTTTCTAAAGCTGAAGTCAAGGTGTCGTTAGCACTGGGCTCCTGTCGGAGCTCTGGGCTGGAGCTGCATTGCAGCAGGGCCTGGAGTGAAGGGCCTTGCAGTCAGTCGGGTCTATCCGAGAAGATACCAAGTCATAGCCATCATCCTGGGGGTTGGGGCAGCAAATCTTTGGGGGTAATGTCTGCATCAGCCAGCCAGAGACACATAGCTAAAGGATCCTTCTGAGCAGAGGGGAGGGGTTTCCTAGAAAGTCCGGGAAGTAGCATGGCTCTTGCAGTCCCTGCCTCACCGAGTCAGGTGCCCGTGGGTTGTAGACCCACACCCTGGAACTTTGGAGAGAACTTATTATGAGCTACAGGTTAGTGGATTTGCAGGTAATGGTGCCACAGAGGCACTGAAACACAGAGAAGAAGTCTGCAGGGCTGCTCCCTAGCAAGCACCCCAGCTCCTGGGCACTAAGGTGTGGTTTACATGCTTAGTGACCAACAGTGATTTCCAGCTTTTGCAGAAACGCCACTCACACCTCAGTCTGGTGGCGAATGATGGCTGGAGGACCAAGCGAACATGCAGCCTTGGATGCCTGGTATGCAGAAGATGAAATGGAACTTCTGGTAGTGAAAGTGGAGGAGGAGGAGGAGGAGGAGGCCACCTCCTTGGTGGAGGAGAACAGTGTGCTGGGCCCAGAGCGTGCGCGACTGTGTTTCCGCACCTTCTGTTATCTCGAGGCTGCTGGCCCCCGCAAGGTCCTGAGCCGGCTCCGCGAGCTCTGCCACCAGTGGCTACAGCCCGAGACCCACAGCAAGGAGCAGATCCTGGAGCTGCTGGTGCTGGAGCAGTTCCTGGCCATCCTGCCCGGAGAGCTGCAGGCCCGGGTGCGTGAACAGCGCCCTGCAAACGGAGATGAAGCTGCAGCGCTGCTGGAGTTTGTGGAGGGGCGGCTGGAGGAGGCACCGCTGAAGGTAGAAAGAACAGGTTGAGTATCTGAGAGCTGTGGTTTGTGCCATCCTGAAACCTGCTGGGAGCGAGGGCATTCCCTTACGAACCAGGAAACGCCCCTGGTACCGTGGACCTTTCTGGAAGTGAGGCAGAGTTCTCTGGACCGTCTCTCAGAACATTGTCTATGTGCACATAAAGGAAAATATGAAGGAATGCAAGGAATGTGAGCCTATTAAATTTCAGTTAGGAAAGTATTAAGCAACTGATAAAAGTAGATAAGTGCCTTTTTATTGAAGCGCTGAATACTAACACCTAAGGATAAGGTCATTTCAAAGCAGGTATAAGAGTGACTTTGGTAATGTTGACTATGAAGAGCTGTGCAAGGGCACGCAGTGTCTCCTGGGAACAGCCCTGGGACTGCTTAGGACACGTTGGTTTGGTAACTTCCATTCGTAATGGAAGGGGATGCTACATTTTTCTTAAGAGATCAGTTAAGAATAAGACTAGTTGTTTTCCTGAATCCACTGGTTTTGAATCTCTAATAGAAAACAGGCTGGTTTTGCCTCTGTGTTTTCGGTTTTATGAGCCTGGCCCTCTTTATGTCATGGAGTGTCCCTAGTGTAGCTTCCCTGAGCAACACAGGGCCAGGCTTCTGAACCAGTGGCCAGGGCCTTAAGTTTCCTGACTTCAGTCAGAGTTCTGTAACGGCGAAGTCATTTTGAATCCTTTTACTTTGTCTTATAAAGAATGAGGGAAGTTCTGAGCTGTACTTGGGAAAGTAGCTTGAAAACTAATCTAACTGTAAATGTCTCTTCAGACAGAAACTGAATGTGCTGAGGACAGTCCTGGTGCCAGGCCCTCTGCTGGGAGACTTCACGTACAGTCTTCCTGTTTACTAGCTCCCCACCAGCCATAAATTGCCCTCACTTTTTGAGATAAGGAAAATATTAGTATTTTTTGAGAATTTCTCATCAGTTTTCAAAAAAACCCAAATGTGTACAAAGAGGCAGCACTGTAGTTTGGAGTGTGGTCTCCAGAGTCACTCTGCTGGGCTCCCGGTTTAGCATTGTCACGTATTAGCTGACCTACTTGAGTAAAGTGCTTGAAGTCGGCATTAGTTTCCAAAATGTCAAACCCAGGTTACTAGGCCCAGCGGTGCCCAGCGCCACGGCACGGAGCGCGTTGGTGCGTCTGGGACTCCGTGCCACAGGGCCAAAGGAATAGTGCTTGCTCGACATGGTTACGGATAAGTAAGTCAGGGATTGTCTTCCAGGTCTTGAGTGACCGGGGACCAGCACTTCTGGGTTGCAAGGCGGGACTGGTGACAGCGGCTCAGAGGTCACAGAGGGCCCATGTCCAGGCAGTGAAGCCTCTGCCCAAGCGCGCAGCGTGGCAATCCCAGCCCTCACAGGACACAGGTGAATGTCGCCTCCTGGCCCATCGGAATTGTGCGGGCCTCCCCCACTCTTCCCAGGGCTGGCCTGGAAGATCCACGGATGGTTCTTTGTGTGCTCATCAGCCCCGCTTGGAGAGTGCGACTCCAAGGGAAAGTGCTGACCCGTGGTGCAGAGCGTTCCCCACCAGCCTGGGCGTGGTGAGATGCTCCAGAATTGGGCTTGGAAGGACTTGGTCCTCCACTTTCGTGACAGGAAATGGTGGCACCTCCCTAGTGACCGCCACTGTGGTTGGCACTGAGGATAGAGCCTCCAGTGAGACAGGAGGCTTCTGCATGGAGCCTCCGCTCTGTGCAGCAGACCCCAAAGAGACATGTTAGTGACACAGCTTTAGCAGCAGTGATTCCTAAGAGGAACACACCATGTGCAAACTCAGCCAGAAAATCTAAAGTCATAGGATGATGGCCATTTAAATGGCACAAATCTTCGACCTTAGGATTATTACTAAAACAGCATGAGACTCACTTGGTAGGGAAGGACTGTGTCCTCAGTGTCCTCTTGTGGCCTGAACTTGTGTGTTAGTCCTTGAAACTGCAGCCCTGGAACACCCAGCCAACATGCTGTCTTCAGTGCTTAGCAGAGGTTCTGACCCCTTTGTCCCTTTCACTTTTTCCCTCTTGTAATGAAGTCTGCTGTTCATTTTGACTTGTCCCTCTTGAGTCTGAGCAGATTTGCAAGCAGACTACCATTCCTGCCTTTCTGGGTTCAGCACTGACTGACCGAGTTTTTCCACACAAGGCAAAATGGACCCTCACCTCTCCCAAAGACCTACTGAGCAAAGATCCTCCTCTTCCTAACAAAATTCACAGGAGGTTCACATGACAAAGGTTTTTTGTTTTAATTCATTGCAGCACTCCACACAAGTATGACCTGTAGTTTTTAAATCTTTTCAGAACACAGCAGATGTCTTTGGGCTCTGGGGTTAGAGCCAGAGGGGCCTGGGCACATTAGAAAGGAACGCTTTGTATAAACTTGTGTGGAAAAATTGATAATGCAGTTTCTGAACTGAGATTTCCCAAGGCAGGGAGGCTGGTGCCTGGGGAGATCTCATGCAAGGCTTTTTTCGTACTAGTTGACCGGGGGGACAGCTGTGGAGAAGATGCAGTGGCACCTTCCTGCAGAGTCCCGGGTAAGCGGAACCTCCCACTTCCGCAGCGCTCTATTTCCTGGGAAGCCACCATCCTGCCAGCCCCCTTGGCCACATGCTGGTCCCTCCACCCCAGGCCTAGGGGATGTGCATTTTCTCTTTAGCCCGAGGTCACTTAGCACCACTTCATGCAGGTGCATACATTAGAGCTTGTCCAGTTTGATTACTGGCTTGTGGAATTGTCTGTGTTTCCCACTCTTATCTCTGGTCATCTTCTCCTGTTGCTTTAGAGGTTGCTGAAAATGGAAGACATGGCCCTAAGTCATTCTCCTGGGGGGACACAGCTGGTTCCTTCCCAGGTGAACCTTTGCAGAGATGAAAGGCGGCAGAGTGGTGGCCACCCTGGCTCCCTGGGTAAGACTGAGGGTCCCTGAGGCTCCAAGAGGTCACAGAATGCTTTGCAGGGAGAGCTGCTAGCCAAGGTAGTCTGTCAGAACTGTTGATCCTCTTCTGTACAGAGTGAGAAGCACCAGTTCTGAAACTACTAGGCCTTCCACCTCTGATGTTGCTTTCTTCTGTGCCCTGTCAGTGTTCTGCTCTGAGTAATGGGATGACGCGGCTAAGGCGGCCAGCACAGAGCTGGCTCAGAGGAGATGTACAGCAGATGTTTATTTCTGGGCTGGGGCTGAGGCGCAGGAGCAGAGTACGTAACTAGCATGTGCCAGGCCCTGGGTTCAGTCCGTAGCCCTGGGACAGGAGGTGGGAAAATATATGCATTTCTCCCTTAGCTGTTGTGTTCAGAGACCCTGCCTGTCTCTGGGCACAGTTCAAGATGACATCCCTTATCGTTGGTCACTGACAGAGTTCAGAGCTCTTACTCTGATGGTTGGGCCAGCACAGCATGTGGTACCCGGGATTGAACCCATGTCCTTATGCTTGCCAGGCAGGCACTTAGACCACTGAGCTATCTCACAGCTCCTGCTCAGCCCCTTCAGGCTCTGATCCTTATGTCTGATGCTGCCTTAGCAACCCCCTCCTCTAAACCAATGCCACGTGTCCCCAGCACAGTCCTTGGCCTCTTGCCCCACCCCCTCCATTCCCACCTGCACCTCCTCCCAGGACCCCCACTCCATTCGCAGGTATTCTTCTCTGGTAACTTTGCTCTCATCCTCGTCCCTGCACTGGAATCCTTGCCATGCAGAAGCTCTGTCCACTCCTGGCTCTGGGGCCCATCACACAGCCTTCCTCCCACACGGCCTAACTCACCGTTGTTGGCCCTTGTTGTTTCAGGTGGTGAAATGCAGGCAAAGATCAGGGGCACATCTCCAGCTGAGGAGTGTCGAGGACAAGAGCCTGGCAAGACTCTGTGCCACCTGGGTGAGAACACTGCCCAAGTTCCTGCTTGTGTCGAAGCTGATGAACAGGAGGACAAGTTACAAACAAAGCAGAAAAATGCTACGGGGAGCAGGCGGCACATTTGCCACGAATGTGGAAAGAGCTTTGCCCAAAGTTCTGGCCTGAGTAAACACAGGAGGATCCACACTGGAGAGAAACCCTACGAGTGTGAGGAGTGTGGGAAAGCCTTCATAGGGAGCTCTGCCCTCGTCATTCACCAAAGAGTCCACACAGGTGAGAAGCCATATGAATGCGAAGAGTGTGGCAAGGCCTTCAGTCACAGCTCAAACCTTATCAAACACCAGAGAACACACACGGGAGAGAAGCCCTACGAGTGTGAGGACTGTGGGAAAACCTTCAGCCAAAGCTGCAGTCTCCTTGAACATCACAGAATTCACACTGGGGAGAAGCCATACCAGTGCACCATGTGTGGCAAAGCTTTTAGGCGGAGTTCACATCTCCTGAGACACCAGAGGGTCCACGGTGATAGAAGTGAGCCTGGAGAGGTAGGAAAGGCCAAGATGGAAAGCCAGTGGGAAACTGCCGAAACTCCTGTGTCTTACAGATGTAATGAGTGTGACAGAAGTTTTACTCAGAATAGAAGCCTTATTGAACATCAAAAAATCCACACTGGCGAGAAGCCCTATCAGTGTGACACATGTGGAAAAGGCTTCACCCAAACTTCATACCTCACTCAACATCAGAGGAGCCACGTCGGGAAGAAAGTTCTGTCACAGTGACCTCATGTATGCATAGCAAAGTTGGTGCTCATTTGTCATTGAACTGAAGCCACCGTGGAGCCTTGCTGGCAACAGAATTTGTGAATGGGGGTTTATTTACTAATTACATCAGGTGTTAGTGCCTTTTGTAAAAAGTGCATTCTGGCTGAGGTGAAGGGAGTTACTGTCTGCATTTTAGAAGGTGATGGGAACAACTGAGTTCACAGGAGGCTATGGGAAAGGTTTTTAAAAGTGGCAGGACATGCTGGAGCTAAATGAGCCTCCGGAGTTTTTCCTGAGCCCTTATGTTGTCCTGCTGTGATCATAGTATTTCACTGTTGTGAACGCACGTAATGGGTCCGATTCATGAAGTCTACAATCCCTTCTGTGCCTGGCATAGAGGTGCTAATAAACATTCATGCGCACGTGAACTTACCTACGTAACTCAAAGTCTGATCAGATTTTTGTGAAATTTTTCATCAAGATCAGTTTGTATCTAAAGAATTGCAATTCTAGATTCTGAGTCAAACTTGCTTTTTTTTTGCCACATATTACTGATAGGTGGGATGAAGGTGGAATAACTTGGATAGAACTCACTTTTCTTGCCTAGGAATTCTATTCAGAATGCCTTCCGTAGCTTCATCATTGAATCATCTGCAGTATATGTGATCCATGAATTGTGTTCTCTGACGTTAATTGTGCTACTCTTCAGGGAGAAAGTTTTTCCTGTTCAGTTGGTGGGAAAACAGTTCCATGGTCAGAATGCCACAGAACTTAAGTGACTCACGTTCTGAACTTAAGCACCCTGGCTCCCTTGTAATGCTCTTGGGCCTCAGCAGGAGCCTCATCTTCCTTGGCAGCCAGTCCTGTGTAGTGCAGTGCCAGGTCAGTAGAGTTCTACCAAATAGTATATTTCTTTGTACTGGGAATTGAACTCAGGACCTTGTGCTGGTGGGACACGCACTGTGCCACTGAGTTAGTTGTATTCCCAGCCCCCACATAATATTTAACGCAAGTGTTATACTTTCAGAATGGAAATTTTGTGACAGTCTGGATCTTGTATCTTAATTCCCAAGCCACCTAAACAGAAACACATCCTTAATGTATGACAAGAACTTTTATAAAAACCTCAGAGAATTAATTTGTCTTTAAATACACATTTTAAATCTTCCTTTTCCTCTTCCTCCCTTTTTCTTTTTCCTCTTCCTCTTCCTCCTTCCTTTTTGCTCTCCTTTTCCTCCCCTACCCCTTTCCTGCTCTTGATAGTCCAAATATCAGTCTTGTGAATTTAGATGAGAAAACCTAGTTTTTTAGTTGGCACTAAAGTGTCAAATCTATCTTTCAAACGGAGTTGTTTTTTAAAAAGTATTTCAGGATGCCTGGTTTCTTGAAAACTTTTTTGCTAATGTATCCCTTTTGGAAATTCGGTTCCATGATTGCATTTACTTATATTTTCTCACTTGGTTTTTGGCACCAGCCATTAAACCTTTTAGAAGTCAGATATAGCAAGTGTTCTATTTATGCTTTGCAAGTGATGGTTTTGCCATTGTGAAATATTCTCTCCTGCTAACTGTATTTTGTAGGAGTTGAATCTTCATGTGAAATCCTTTGTCTCTATCCAAATCCCTGTTTTATGCCAATTTTTCAGGCTTGATACTTCAGTTTTCAGGATTCAAACAGACACATTCAACAAATCCTAGTGTACATTACTAGTATCATGTCAATAAACAATGCAGTTATCTTGAATGACTTTGCATCACTTCCAAAGTTTCTTAATAGGCTTTGAGTGCAGTCACTAGTGCTGAAAAGAGCATGTGTGAGTGTGTCTACATCTGCATGCACACTGGAAACAAGAAGTGAGTCTGACTCTGGAAACATCCCGCACATATGCTGTAAGCCAGAGACCCAAGAAGGGCCAATGTGGTGAACTCCATTTTTTTTTCTTTTTGGTGCAGGGAATTGAACTCAGGCCCTTACCTTTGCCAGGCAGGTGCTGTGCCGCTGAGCTATGTCCCCAGCCCATGAGCTCCTTTCTTAACACTTCAGTCTGAGGCTGAGACTGGGAAGACCCCATGTCCCAGCTCAAGGATAGTAGACAAAAATACTTGTTTGAGGGAGGGTCAGCCTGATAAAAGTAAATTTTGAAGAAAATCAGAAATGTCACTGTCAGCCCCGTTCTCCATCCCAGGCCAAGCCCTCTTCCTCTCCAATGATCAGGAGAGCTTTCCTGGCGGGGCACTGCCACTCTGGAATGAGAGCTCAGAGCAGTCACTCCAGCCTGCGGTTCACACTGGCTTTTCAGAACTATTGTAGCTGATCTTCCTGTGGCATAAAATAACATTAAGAGACTAAATTTTAACCTTTTTACTCAAAAGTGGACAATGCATTGGAAAACAAGATGGAACCTAGTGTCAGGAGGCGAACTGTATTAGGTAAGGTGGTAGGGTCCCTCCCCGCCACCTGGGCAGGAACTTGTTACGGTGTAGCGATGTTAGTCTCTGTACACGCGTGTCCTGATGTCACTAACTACATCCTAAGCAACTAGACTGGAGGTTAGGTGTGCCCGTGGAGTGGAGTTGAAAACCACAATTGTATGAGAAGGCGCATCTACGCCACGTTCTGACTTGGCCTTTGGATACGAACCTGCTGAGTCAGTGCTGGCACAAAAAAGCTGCTTCCTGGGAAAAGCCCCGGATTCCCATCTGCGCAGGAAAGTCCCTCCGAAAACAGTGCACAGTTTCCAAATACTTACGATCTCCAGAGAATTGCTAGTCTTTGAGTATTCATTGTGACAAGAGAAGACACATTTGTTGAAGGCATTTGGTTCTCCCATTTAGAGAATGCCAAGCAAATGGAGGACAAACATGAGAAGCGTGGCTAGCCACAGCCAGTATTTACTTAGTGTACGTGAGCGTTAGGGCTGGGGGTGGTGGCCGTGCTTGCCGTGCAGAGGCCCACCCTAGGCTTGCTCTGTACCTGCCAACAACTGTGTTAGGAGTTTGATAATGGAGGAAGGTACGATAATCTGCCACTAACTGATTAGTGATGGGGAGGCACAAATTAAGTGATTACCTCAAGTCACTCTACTAAGTGGATTCTTCTTGCTCAGGCATCCACCTATCTGCTCTCAGAGTCGTGACGCGCTTCATTTCTCAACTCAAGCCGCACCTGCTGCTGCTTCTTGGGGAGGCTGGCAGGGTCTCTCACATCGAGCATCATTCCTAAGTTCCTCTGGCTGCTTCCAAGCCTCCGGCCTAAGCTTTTGCTGGGCCACGAGGGCCCACAGACCCGCCCCTTGAGGTAGGAGGTGCCCCCCCTTAAGGCAGAAGGAGTGCAGCCTTTGGCCCCTCTGCCCATGGAGGTCTGGGTCTTGTTTCCTAAGGCGAGGTCACAGTGGCCAAGTCAAGGCTGCTGTTACTCGGGGGTACAGCATGGTCCCTATTTACGGGGACCTCTGACCCACTGCATTGGGAGCCTCCCTTAGCAGAACACGAGCAGATGTTCTTGTGCACTTGCTGTGTGCCTAGCATTCTGAGTACGAGTCACCTAATGCATATAACTGCCTGTAAGGTATATACTGTTACCTGTGAGGAAACTGAGGCAGGTGTTAAATGGCTTGCTCGCCCAGGGTCCCTTCCTGTACACAGTCCTGGCCATGTTTCTAGAAACCATGATTGGCCTCAGGGATCAGGGATATGTGAGACATTGCATTGCAGGAAGCTGAGATCTCTAGGTTGCTTCTCCCCTTGTCCTAAGTCTAGCACTGAAGTAGCAGAACTGTGGCACTAGATACAAGCGTGAGGAGGAATAAGGGGGGCTCCGCTGCCCAGGAGAGGTCACAAGTCGCGCCCCGCCCCTCACACAGACAGTCCACCATAAGGAGGCGAGAACAAGCTGACCTGTCTCCTGGTGGTCAGGAGAGATGGTAAAGTTCCAGGAGCCCCAGCGGATGGGTGGGCTTCAGGTGTGAACAGTGCTGAGTCACAGCCATGAGGCCAAGAACAGTCACTGTGAGTGCCAGGCCAGCCGGGGCTACATAGACCCCAGCTCAAAGCAAAAACAAAACCAAAATGTATCCAGGAATGTTGCAAGAAATTCAAATAAAATGAGCTGTTGGAGGGGCAATGGCATGAGAACTTTGCAGTGTGATGGGTAACACTGGCTGATTAAATCGAAGGCCATCAAATGATTCATCCTTGGGGGAGCATGTGCTGGTTGCATAAACTATGGCCTTGTGGGGACGGCACCATTTGAACCATAACTGGTAATGTTTTTATTAAATTTCACTATTTTATTCATAAAATATAAGAAATACTTACATTCCTTTCCTATTGGGACTTTCCATTCCCAATAACTGTATATGAGGCCCTTGAATGTATCAATTATAAAACATGTTAAAATGAAAACATCTTAAAATGTACAAACACAAACCAGTACCTTATACATATAACTGTATATACTTGTCAGTGTAAAAAGACTTTCTTTGAACTGAAAATAAAGCACCTTTAGTGGGTTGTTTGTTTTTTGGTTTTTTGGGTTTTTTTGCAGAACTGGGGATGGAACTCAGGCCCTTGGGCTTGCCAGGCAAGCGCTTATTCTACTGAGCCATCTCCCTGGCCTGCATGTTTAGTTTTATTTTGTAGAATTAGTTTTCTCCCATCCTACTTCTCTTTGACTCTCTGGAATATTCCGAGTATCTGCTAGATTTTTCCTTTCATCTCTCTGCACCATTCTGACACCTATCTTCTTCATTGTTAGAGCTCACATGTTTTCTACTTTTTCCATTGACTTTGATCTATCTCTTCTACAATTTTCACTGTCCTGATGGTGGAGTCTATAATTTTTATCCTGAAAAGTAATTTCTTCTCTCGCCTCTTGTTTTGGATCACCATGTTAATCTATATGAATCTCCTGGTCTTGGCTATTCCCACCCCTACTGTAACTATTTCCTCCACAAGGAATGCTTCTGTCTGATGTGTTTTTAGGGAAGATCTCTCCAACTTTGATCTCTTGCATTCTGACCTCTGTGTCTCTCTGACCTTTCTCGGCTCTTGTTTCTTGTTGTGTTCTTTCTTCTTCCTGTCGTCTGTCAGCTGTTTGTCAGTTCCTAGCCGATTTATTTCCATCTTCACTTCTGGTTCTCCCGTCTCTTCTTTTTCATATCTTTAGCTGAAGTAGAGATATAGCTGCCTGAGACAAAGTCACTGACTGCCCTGGAAGAATCTCAGCGGCTCTCTTTGC